AGTCTACTAAATGATTTAAATTGCAGTTCTAAAACCCAATGGCCATCATACAATTCCGGCCTGCCCAGATTACATTAGCAATGGGGGAAGAGGAGTGAAAGCAGATTGTGAATCGTATAGTTATTGAGAACTATTAAACTGGTAAAAACCATGGCTGTCCTCCACGGTATACTTGGCGGAACATTTCTGCTTTGCAGGCCCTGCGAAACTGTAACAGATCCCTGACGTGAGCAGGCAGAGAGTTCCGCCAAGTTGAAGCCAGGGCTCAGAAGGCCCTGATTCTGTTTGAGGACAGCCAGACACTCTTTGGGCCAGGGACGTCCAACAGATGTTGGTCAGTTGAGTGTAGTGCTCTCTGGGGGACATGCCAGGAGAGGCAGTCCTGTAGGTACATTGGTCCCTGACCGTTTAGGGCCTTAAAGGTCAAAACCAAAACCTTGAACCTGACCCGGTACTCAGCTTGGAGGCAGCGCAGCGGGTGAAGCATAGGTTGTATATGTGCAGTTACCGGTGTCCCCATAAGGACCCAGGGCCATTGCATTCTGGACACGCTGCAATTCCTGGATCAGCCTCAAGGGCAGCCCAGCATAGAGCGAGTTACAGTAATCAAGCCTAGCGGTGACCGTTCTGTGGATTACCATGGCTAGGTCAGTAGGGGGCAAGTTGCCTGACCTGGTGGATCTGGAAGAACGCCAGTCTGGCAACATTTGTGATCTGGGCCTCCATTGACAAGGAGGCATCCAGGACCACACCCAGACTGGCGTTCTGTGCCAGTGTTAAAGGTGCCTGGTCAAGAGCTGGGAGGTGGCACCCCAAACCGGAGTCTCCCCCACCCAGTCAGATAACCTATGTCTTTAATGGATTCAGCTTCAGCCAACTCTTCTCGACTGTTATGTTCTCCAGAGCGTGAGGGGAAAGATGTATAGATCCAAGCAGGAAGACTGGGTGGGGATTCTAGAAGCGCACATGGACTACCATTCACCCTAACAGTCTCTTGTGCTCTAAGAGGGAGCACCAGCTGGAGGGTTAGGGTTGAACGGGGCTTTGGGAACTTCCATGTGGAGGTGCTACACCTGCAATGGACTGGCTCATGCTCACTGCTGCACTGAAAAGCAAATTTGGTTTCGGCAGGGTAGGAGGTTTCGTATACATTCTTAAAGCCATAGCTTGAGAAGGGGCAGGGGAGAATTCTTGCAATTCTGTAAACAAACAGTGAAGGCCCCAAAGGGGAAACTTCAAAGGGTTCTCGACCTTGCGATGGGCGCTTGATTTGACAGGTGACTGGACAACTGGTAGGAATGACTGTAACAGACAGGACGGCAGTGGTACAAGGGACTGCACAAGTAAGTCCTTTTCAGGGCCTTGCGCCGTACCAGCTCACGAACTTGCAAATGGATTCTGTCATTTTGGACACGATCCACAGGCTCCCACACTACCATGGGTGCCTCTAAGGCCATATTAGTGCATAGTTAAATAATAAGTGGAAGAAGGGGGAAAGAGCTACTGCTTCTGAAAGAAAGAAAGAAGAAAGCTAGGTTTTTGTTTTCCTCAAATGAAAATACTTTTCAAACAACCCAACAACTGGCGTGCATCCTACGTACAAAATTTCCACTGGCCTTTTAAATTATTTTAGTCATTTCATAATTTATAATAAATAGGTTAATCACAACCGATAAATATGCATCTTTAAGTAAACAAAGGAATGAAGAATTAGTGTTTATACAGGATGCGTACACTTAAAAAATCAGAGATAATCATTGAACTCTGCCAATGAAAAGATTACTGGCTTCAAAAAACAGACACACAGAATTATTGTAAAAACCATACCTGCGCGCTGTACCACAACAGTTTTTTTTTAATCAAATTAAAGTCACAACGACGATTAAAAGAAAGCATCATTTAAAAAAAGATCTGTGACTTCTAGTTCCAAAACTACTGTTGATACATAAAATAAAAACACTTCTTAATGATCACCCATTTGAGAGGCTTTACAGAAAATTAGGCTATCTCCTAGAAAAAGCTTGTAAATGAGAAAAAATCCCATCCCACCCATAATAAATTTTTGTGCATATAAAACAGCCAAAGGAAGAGAAGCAAAAGAAGAAGAAGAAGAAAACGAAAAGGGTATCACAGAGGCGCTTAAAGCCTGGTTGGTTGGGATAGTTTGTGAGAAAGGGCGTGATCCAGCCAAAGCACTTTATAAAGTTCTGCTGTGTTGGAGGCAGAGATTTAAGGATGTGCTCAACGGTCCCATTGATAACAACAAGACTTAGGAACAAAGATGTTGGCCAGCGGACTCAGGACTAGAAACCCTGGTGCTTAGCTCCTCCCCCTTCTCGTAGCTCCTCCTCTCTGCACGGGGCCCTGCCCTGGCAATTCTGCTGCACTCCTGTGATCACCAAGATTTCCAGTCTTGTGTCTGCTGCAGAACATTTTGTTCACCCCGAAACTCTTTTTTAGACATCACTCGGAGTATAGTGTGGCTGTCGCCGCCTCAGTAGCTGCTCCCACTGCACTCCCTGAAGCATCCATCTCCATCAGCCCGGGTTGGCGTCTCTGCCAGGTTTCCAAGAGGAGGCAAAAGCGACTTCCCTAAACGTTCTAATGAATCTGATCAAAGAGCAACCATTCGGCGCTTCCCCCAGAAGTGTGTCCCAGTGTTACTCCGGTAATGTCACTGCGGATGGCCGAGACAAAGAGCATTCCTGGAAGCCGCAAGATGGCAAGCCAGCTCTCCAGTTTAATCGCAAGCCAGGACTCCAATTTAAAGCAGGCTTCGTCTCAACAGTGAATAGACTTCGCATGCCGACATAAAGCCCAGCTTCCAGCAGCCCCAAAACTTTTCAAGGGAGCAAGCTTCTGGGCACGAATCAGGGAGTTGTGCGTTTTTCTACACTAGCAACGTGCCCTCTTGCAATGATAGGAGGACAGCAACGCCCTGGTGTAGAAGCGCTCATAAACTGTTCTAGCCACATCTGAAGTGAGCAGTGCCAAAATTTTTGTCAGTCTTGAAGACGCCGCTAGACTCTTGCTCTTTTCTACTGTTCCAACCACAACCCGTTTCAGATGGTTACCACCATGCATGCTGGAACCTCGCCAACAGGAGGACAAGCTACCTGCAACGCTTCTAATACGCATGGTCACCATTCCATACAAATAGTCCAATGCATGGATTTGCGGGTGCACTGGGTTCTTGTTCGTGTCCAGTGATGCTCTGTGTGCATGGAGAGACTGTGTGCTGCCATATTTCACCCAAAACTATGATCATGAACATTCACGCACGAAACTGCCTTATACTGAATCAGACCCTCGGTCCGTCAAGGTCAGTACTGCTTACTCTGACAGGCAGTGGCTCTCCGGGACCTCCGGCATTTCACATCACCGACCAGCTGATCCCGTTAGCTGGAGATGCCAGGGATCTGCAGCATCTCTCCAGGGTCTCATGTCAAGGTCTTTCACATCACCTACTATTCGATCCTTTCAATTGTAGATACCAAGGATTGAACCTGAGACCTTCTGCATGCAAGGCGGATGCTCTACCACTGAGCCATGGCCTTTCCCATCATGCATATCAGAAGCATCGCACGTCGCATGTGTTCGTAAGGGTAGGCTCCCAGGATGCATGGCTGTAACATCTGAAAAAGGGCTTCTATTGATGGTAGATGCTGATGCCACACTCCTAGGAGAACAATGTTTGCATCATGGAGGATCCGCGCAGCTACATGACATCCAGGCTAACGAGTAAACAGAGCCTTAAAGTATCTGACCGTGGCCGAGTCACGGCTGGTGTTATTAGATCAGCCCATTAAGGGAGTGGTGGATGATGTGCGTAAAGCATCAATATTTCTGCACTCAATACATCCACACACACTCACTCACACAGTTTTCTCTCTTTTTTTACAAAAAAATATATATATATATATATATATATATTAGCATAAGTTCAGCTTTCTAAATAGGTTAGTGTACAATATTGTTTTGCTTTGTATAATTACATTTGAATATTCTTGATTAAGAAAAGTTTCAGCAGTTTTTTTTTTAAAAGAAGGCTGCATTTACAGTGCATAGCTGTAACCAAAAGAAGAGCATCGTCTCATCACACGGTATGTACAGAAAACAAAAATACTCCATTTAGCATCTGCAAATACTCAACTACATTCTCGAATGTAGCGAATAATCTAACTGTACATCCCAACCCCAGCCCGCCTACCCAAGAGATCCCCTTGACGCGCTTGCGGTGGATCATGGCAGCTTACCCAGTGGACAAGGTTGAGAATTAATTTTGGGGGGAGGGGGGTGTCGTCCGAAAAATTTTCTACACGAAACGAACATTTCGGACAATGACATGGATGTCACAATTAAAAAAGACAAAACTTTTAAAAAGCCACGGAAGTTTCTCATCCTTCCATACATATATGTGTGTGTATATGCATGTCTGTGTATGTGTGTGTGATACACACACACCTACACACACACCAATACATATGTACGTCTTCACAGGAAAACCAAAATGGAAAGAGATGGTGTATTTTGCAGGAACTGTAGTATTCTTCAGGATTGTCATCATAGTAAAACTTGTCGTGAGAAGCTCGTTTAAAAATAAAGAACCGAAAAAAACCCCTCTTGGATGTCAGCAGCGGAAGTTTTGAATTTGCTTTTGTTTTGAAAATGTCCTATGTACACATTTCAAAGTTCTCATTTTTTTTTGAAAGTATCTCTATGGAACTGCTGCCGTTTCAAGTGGTTTCCACTTGGCACTCTCTTTCGAAGATCAAAACCCTCATCCTCTTTGCCCTGAGACCTAGGGGGACACACCCGTGCACAAACGAGACTAAAATTTGTTTCTTCATCCCTTAAGCAGCTGTGTCCATGTAAACCAATTTTTCAATACAGAGAGTGTAGAGTAGGTGAGATTTGTAAGCGTGACTTTCTTCATTGTCCGTTTATTGAAGGACGTGATGTCCATGAGGTATTCGCCACCCCTCCGTTATCCTTGGCCATGACGCATGTTACCTTCGCAAGCTTCGCTGAGCCTCTTTAAGCAAGCTGTCAAAATCCATCGAATCATACTTGCTCTTGGTAGAAGCAGGATCAAAATCATCCGAGTTTGAATCTGGAAGGGGAGGGGAAGATTGACAAAAGAACCTCAATGACGTTAGCGGATCTTTCATCACGTGAGAATAAGAGTCAGTTCATGCATTGTTCGGGAGCAGCAGTGGCTCACGTGGTGAAAGAAGAGTAGGTTTTTATTCTCCACTTTATACCCCCACTTGTCCACATGCCCCTGCTGGAGTGACCTTGGGTCAGTTACAAGTTGTTTCAGAGCTGTTTTCACAGGAGCAGTTCTCGAAGGAGCTCTCTCAGCCCCCCCTACCTCACAGGGTGTCTGTTGTGGGGAGGGGAATGGAAAGGCGATCGTAAGCCGCTTTGAGACTCCAAGTGAAGGGTAGGGTATAAGTCCAATCTCCTCCTCCTCCTCTTCTTCTTCTCTACCTTAAGGACTCTCCAAGTGGCTTACAATTGCCTTCCCTTCCTCTCTTCACAACAAGGACCTTGTGAGGAGACAGGTGGTGCTGAGGGAGTTCTGAGAGAATTGTGACTGGCCCAAGGTCACCTGACAAGTTTCATGTGGAGGAGGAGGGGGGAATCAAACCCAGTTCTTCAGATTAGAGGCCGCTGCTCTTAACTGCGGCACCACCCTGGCACTGGACTGCACTGCAGGTTGGATTCCAGCCTCGGCCACTGAAGGGGGAGGTGGATTTCGTGCTCATATGAGACTTCCAGAAGCTGCTGAAAGGGAAGGGGGATGTGGTGCCCTTCCCCCAAAGTGCTAGGAAGCGGTGATGGAGATGCTACAGCTACTGTGCTGAACGGGTAGTATAACTGCACATCAGTGACCTTGAGCATCTCCATCACTCCCTCCTGGCACCTGCTGGTAAAGGCACCAAACACACACTGTTCCCTTCCGTGGCACTCAGTGGTGGGAGCAGGAATCTTCCGTTCGGACCCCCCCCCCCCCAGGCCTTCTGTTCGGGAACTGTAATGAGATTCATGAAACCTGGAATCTCGTGGGTAAACTGATTATTATACAACATTATCTTGGGGCCTATTTATTTTGGCAAGAACCTAACCACTATGATAGATTATGACTGCTATTCATCCAAGAAACCATTATCTTACCTTACTTTTGATGGCGTATGTCACAATGGCTGCCAGTTTTTTTGAACTAGGAAGTTTAAGGATACAACACCTCTGGGGTTAGGGATGCCAGCATCCAGGTGGGACCTGGGGATTTCCCTGAATTACACCTCATCTTCAGACTACAGAGCTTAGTTCCCCTGGAGAAAGTGGATGCTTCGGAGGGTGGATTCTATGACTTTGTACTCCACTGAGGTCCCTGTCCTCCCCAGGCTCAACCCCCAAATCTCTAGGGAGTTCTCCAACCTGGAGCTGGCAACCCTCCTCTCCCCCCACCAGCAGTCGGGTGGGACCTGGCAACACTATCTGGGGTAGAAATCTTAATCCCACTTCCAAAGAAGGCTGAACCCTCACAGAATTCAGACCCTATCAGGACTGCTGTCCTCAGGAAGGCTTCTCTTTGCAGAAGGGTGTGTGAAGTTTTAAAATCTGAATTAAAATGGCACTTGCATGATCTATCGTGTAATCCAAAGCAGAGTTACACCCTTCTAAAACGTCAACAAACTCAGAAGGGTGTAACTCCGCTTAGGGTTGATCACATATTGACAGGGTAGAATAATTTTTTCTTATTGGGGGTCTTCTTAATATTTATTTGCATTTTTGTCAAAAGCATCCAATTTCCATTTTTTGGTGTTGGTTTTGCAGATTTATTTAAGTCGCGTTCATAGGTTTCGCATGGAATTCATTAACATTTAGACTAGGGGTATGCACACAAAAAATGGCATTTTTTGGGTTCGGGTAAACCAAGTCCGAAAAATATTGATATATATCAATATTCCCAAGTCCCAGTATCGGTAGGATACTGGGGTTTGGGGGAAATTGGTATTGCTGAATATATTTGGTGTCATTTCACCCTATAGGGAAAGTCCCCCTAGAGTATAATGGCACTGGAGCCTTTCCTTCCTTTAAACAGAGCTCTACTTGTAGTCAGTTTCACTCCCCAGGGATCAGCTGCCTTCCCTCCAGAGATTGGAAGGAAAGGAAGGGAAGGCCGAGCTGGTCAGTTTCACTGAAACTTATGCCTTCCCTCCCTGATTCGGCCGAATAAAAGCCGAATAAGATCAGCTTTTATTTGGGAGCTTCTTATTGGCCATCCAAATCAGATTAGAGAATCTGATTTGGTTTAACAATTTTTTTCAATTTGACAAAGCCAAATGCACACCCCTAATTTAGACATACAATATATGTGATATATGTGACTGATATATGTGAGATATAATGCTGATACACTAATTCACAAGTAATAGTGAAAAGATGCATACATTGACTGGAAAATTTAGGTGTGAGGAAACAGAAAATGGTGTGAAAGACAAGAATCAAGAGTTTGATTTTGACAACAGAAAAAAATGAAACTGAGGCAGAGAGTAGAAATCATCCCTAGGTTATTGTTTCAGACCGACATATTTCATCTGTCCTCTGGAAATCTTTACGTACTCTTGCCCAGAATGTTTCTCACTGGTGCCCTGTTCCACTAGGGCTGTCAACCTCCAGGTGGGGCCTGGCAATCTCTGGCACAGACAGTCTCCAGATGACAGATAAGTTCCCCCGGAGAAAATGTCTGCTTTAGAGGGTGGCAATGCTGAGGTCCCTCCCCACTGTGGTCCCAATATACCACTACATAAATATGCATGGTTCTTTGAAATAAAGGCACAGTAAGGACCACCTCTGCAAACCACCTCTGACCGTCTCTTTCCTTAAAAACCCTACACGGTCACCATACGGCAAAAAAAAAAAAAAAGGAATTAGCTGAGGCTCTTCTGATCTTGTCAGGTTTTGGAAGCTAAGCAGGGTCAGCTCTGGCTAGTATTTGGCTGGGTGACCACCAAGGAATAAGAGGGTCATGACACAGAGATAGGGAATGGCAAAACCCCCTCTGAACGTCTCTTGCCTTGAAAACTCTTTGGGGTCACCATAAACCAGCTGTGACTTGACAAAAAAAAAAGATATTAGCCCAGGCTAGTCTGATCTCATTAGATCTCAGAAGCTGTGCGGGGGCAGCTCTGGCTAGCATTTGGATGGGAGGCCACCAAGGAACACCAGGGTCATGCTGCGGAGCAGGCCTATAACCAAGATTTTGTGGTTTGTGGGGCAAAAAACCATAATTCTGGTGGGGCTGCCATTATTTTTATGTCAGCTCCAATCCACCCCCAAGCCCGACCGCCAGGGGCCACCTCTCCCTCCCTGTGAGATTTAAACGCTCCTTCAGCTGATTGAGGGGGAGCACGTGGCCCACCGATCAGCTGGAGGGCCCTTTAAATCTTGCAGGAAGGAGGGAGTGGGGTGCGTGTTGTCCCCCACTTCTTCTCACTGAGAGCCAGTTTGGTGTAGTGGTTAAGTGTGCAGACTCTAATCTGGGAGGACTGGGTTTGATTCCCCACTCCTCCACTTTCACCTGCTGATGTGACCTTGGGTCAGTCACAAGCTCTGGCACAGCTGTTCCTGAAAGAGCAGTTTCTGTCAAGAGCTCTCTCAGCCCCACCCAACTCACAGGGTGTCTGTGGTGGGGAGGGGAAGGGAAAGGAGTTTGTAAGCCGCTCTGAGACTCCGAGTGAAGGGCGGGGTATAAATCCAGACTCTTCTCTTCTTCTTCTTTGCAAAACCATTTAAAGGATCCCTTTAAATGCTTCTGAGAGGAAGCAGGGGCCCATGCATGTGGCCCCCCGATTCTTCTCAAAAAAGCTTATTCTCAAAAAAACCTTGTGAGGCTGGCCCTTAAAAAAAAGGGGCAGAGCCCCCATAGTCCAACTGTTGCTATGGGTCAGATGCAGAGGCAGGCAATGGCAAGCCACCTCTGAAGATCTCTTGTCTTGAAAACCCTACCAAATGGCCACGACTCTGTTGTGACTTGATGGCAAGTTAAAAAAAACCCAACAACCCAGAAGGACAAAGTGAAATTCTGAGGAGGAAAAGGTTTCAAGAGGTATTCTCAAAACAGGGGGGGGGAACCCTTAGAGAAGGCCTTCTCTTTGTGACGAATAACGATCCAGAAGGTCCCTTTCAGGCAGATTTATTTTATACTCTCGATGTTTTGAGATATTAGAAACACCCCTGACTTCATCACTGTGAACATAAGTCAAATCAAGTCAAGTCTTCAATCCGTCTTTACTGGTTTGTTATCAGCCAGCATTTGAACAAATGATTTGCCACCTTTTATATTTTCATCACCGGGCCTCTATCTCTCGAACAGTCAGCTGCCTCTCCCCAGCTTTACACTATCTATTTAGCCAGTGAAGTGAATGATAGCATATTCACTGTGAACAATGCATATCGCCTTTATCATTCCGACTCCGAGGAGACATCAATTGGTTAGGGGGAATATAGATTTGTATTCCCTTCGCGCATCACACAAAGCGGAGGGCAGAGCGTATAAGATTTCATACAAATTGTGTTATGGCATTATACAGAAATCTTAATGAGAGCAGTGATTAATTTACAAAGACCCTCCCCCCCCGCCAACACACGATGAGACCATCAAGAAGGCCTACGAGGAGCATTACTCTTGTTCCTATTTTGGTAGGATAAAAAACACTTCCTCTGTTGAGTCAGACTTCATGAGCCCGTTAAGATGGCGAGAACGGAAATGGAAACGGAATGCATGAGTCTTCTGCCCACAATGGATTTGTGTTGCAGCTGCTCTGCCATTAGTCAGGCTTACCATCAACAGTGGCCCAGCATACAACCTCGCCATTGGCGGCTGTGCATCAGCACAGTACACAGGCTGACTTGAGAACCGTACGAGGGATGAAGCCACCTCCTCGCCAGAATGAGAGCTAGGCTGGCTTTCATCCCATCACCAGTCCAAACAGTTCCCACAACACCTAAGCGACCTTCCACCCAGACCTGGCTGGCCCTGTTTCATCAGCTCCTGGAAATTAAGCGGGGTCAGCCCTGGTCAGTACTTGGATGGGAGACTACTAAGGAGGATCAAGGTTGGGTACACTGACGTAGGCAATGGCAAACCGCCTTTGTTTGTCTCTTGCCTTGAAAACCCTACGGGGTCACTTTAAGCCGGCTGCAACTGGACATTACTTCCCACTACCAGGTAACCTTTATAGGGTTGCCAAACTCCAGATGGGACCTGGGGTTCCTGCAGAATGACACTTCATCTCTGGACTACAGAGATCAGTTCCCCTGGAGAAACAGGCTGCTTTGGAGGGTGGACTCTGTGGTACCGTACCCAACTGAGGTCCCTGTCCCAAATCTCCAGGAGTTCCCCAACCCGCATTTGGCAACACTAACGTCCCATCCCCGGCCAGTGGCCGGGGGGGACCTGGCAACCCTACTTTCCACATAACCAGAGAAAAGTGCAGCCCGTTTAAAAAGAGCACTCCAACTCGGCTTCCAGATAAATTTCTCTAGTTTTTCTTTTTGCCGCAAAGACAAACAAACGTTGGTATAACTCAACGACTGGTCTCCCCTTAAGCACTTCATTTCAAGAACGGTAAAGGGCGTACCTAGGTCTGCATAGTTAGACTTGCAAAACTGCTTGTGTCCGCAAAAATACAACTCTAAGTCAGGCTCACTGGACCTGCGCAAGGTGTATCCATTTTCCAGAGCAGCAAAAGCATCGCAGGTGTAGCGGTAAGTGATGAAACCGTAGCTATCCCTGTAATGGCAAAGAAGAAACAGTCTGTGTGAACGAAAATTGGAAAAGCGCCCATGTCACCCTGTCTTAAATGGGAAGGATTCAAGAGGGGCCCAGAAAGCTCGCGCCAAAATCACTGCATCCATTCATCAGCCCGATTGTCTTGTCAGCCTGGAGTCTTATTTCTGGGTCAGGAAATCACAACTATAGCAGAACGAATAAATAAGGGGAGAAATCCGGGTGTGTGTGTGTGTGTGTGTGTGTGTGTTTCCTCTTAAAATGTAGAATGTTATTAGTCATAGCACTTTTGGGGTCAGCCCTCATTCCCATGAGCTGTCATAGCCTATCTCTTTAAAAATACAAATATGGAATCTTCTAAACAAGGAATGATATTAAAGGCCCGTTTTACCCATCATCCTGTAGATTTACTGTGCACTCCTCAATTTCGCCGAAAACTTCAAACCGGTCGCTCAGTTCTGCTCGGGTGATGTCAGGTCCAATTCTTCCGACATAAATTACGCGCCGCTCTTCAAAAAACGCTCTTCCTGTCAGTGAGGAGGAGACCAGAATTTCCACATGAATAAGCAGGGAAATGGCGAGCATGGGAACAGAGACACATAAAACTGAGGTAATTTAGACTCCCGGAGAATGCAAAGAGGAGTAGGTTTTCATACCCCGCTTTTCTTTACCTTCTACCTTAAGGAATCCCAAAGCGGCTTACACTCGCCTTCCCTTCCTCTCCCCACAACAGTCACCTTTTGAGGTAAAAGGGGCTGAGAGAGTTCTGAGACAACGGTGACAGGCCTGACGTCAACCAACAGGCTTCACGTGGGTGAGGAGTGGGGAATCAAATCCCCGTCTTCAGATTAGAGACTGCCACTCTTAGCCACTACACCATGCTGCCTCTCATAGAGCCACAACGCTCTGAAATGCAATGAGATGATGTCCTGACAAGGAGAATGCTTACACTTCTTGTCCGCCTGGGCACACTGATGCAAAGGGTGATTTCCCACAAGCGCTGCTCCGCGCTCACTCCTCCCTTTTGCCCCGATGGTACGTGTCAATTTCACAGAAGCTGCTGCGCGGCCCGCATTTGGCCCCGCAGCTTCGTGCGATTTCCCCCGCATCTACTCAATCTTCAAAAAACAGGATTGAGTAGACGCGGGGAAAATCGCACGAAGCTGCAGGCCAAAATGCGGTCGCACAGCAGCTTGTGCGAAATTGACACATACCATCGGGCCAAAGAGAAGAGTGAGCGCGGAGCAGCGCTTGTGGGAAATCACCCAAAGACTTTTGGTCCAGGAAAGACTGGATTGCAGAAATTATAGCAGCATGATACAACCCTGGAAATGGGCAGAACTGTAGACAGAGTGAGCCGGACTGTGTATACAGGAACATATGAAGCTACTTTATATTGAGCTAACCCATGACTGTCTAATGTTTAAGATATCAGGCGGGTGCCTTTCCTAATGGAGACACCTCAGGCTTGCCTGTTAGACCTTGTACATCCAAATCATATGCTCTCCCAGTCAGCTACACGTTTCCTCACAGAAAACAAGGTCCCTGTTTTTTCAACACAGGCTGAAATCTAACAACATGGTTGCGCACCTGCTACTCTTAGGTCATTTCCTCAAACTCACAACCAAGGGGATAGATCCGAAGATCGAGTATCTTCTAAGATAAACTGGTAAAACTCTACTGCTGTTTGGGACAGCCTACCAGTTTTGTCAGAAGGAAGTGCATTCTTCAAATTCCCCGACAAGAATAATGGGGTGGGGGGTGGGGGGAGAGATATTTTTAAAGACTACAGAGTTGAAGGGCTAAAGGTTCCACTTCCAGGTCAGGGGTCAGAATTGACTGATAACTCGAGCCAGACCATCAAACATTTGCCTCAGCTACGGCGCAGTCCCCTGAAAAAAAACCCAATGAGGATGAAAGCTGGTTGTTGGAATGATGCCTCCTGGCACAACTTCTGCCCCAGAAATAAGCGTATAGCAGGTCAGGAAAACGGAAGCCTGGCTTCCAGCGCTTTTCTTTTTCATGCTTCTTGGCTCTCTTTTAGGCTGCCTCTGTTCCTAACAGCCCTGTCTTGGAATAGGGGAGGATCCAGTTCATAAATCGGGGAACAGTAAAGACTGCACATGTATAGTAATATCCGTTCCCCCCCCGAACACCTTACCAAAACAAAAACTTAACTGCACCGAACCACTTGATAAGAAACAATTTGGTTGACACTAGGCTATTGAACCTAAATGACTGACCAGATGGAGCAGAACATAACAGCAGACTTTCTAATACACTTCCTCTCAGATAATATATCTAGATTGGGAGGGGGGAGCATAATGTTTCACGCACCAACACTGAAAATGTAATAGAGCTGTGTGAGGGGAATAAACACTGCGTATGCTTCTGTGAGATTCGTCATGAGCATGATTATTTTTGGCTTTTATTTGCTTGTTTTCTCTGCATTGGGGGTGGGGGGGGGAGGAGGAATAGGGGCAACTTTGCTAAAACCGAATAATTCGGGAATTCGGGGGGGGGGGGAGGTTTAGTAAAGTACAATTAAGGGAATAAGTGAAAAACGACCGAATCGCAGAAATTCAGATTTAAAAAGTGAAATGTACCATATGTTGTTCACGAAATCGTGCTAACGGTTCCCTTGAATGGCACTGCACTGTGGCTAAGTAACACAGGGCATATGGTGCATTTCAACTCTGACAAAGGCCTACGCCATTCTTTGGTAATTCCAATAGGATTACAATGCTGCGTTTGTGGTCTCTTTTGTAAATGGCACATAAATCGATTGGGGCCAAAAGAGGAGTGATGCAGGGCAACTCCAACACTGTCTCTTAATGGCAGTGCTTTCAAACAGCCCTCTCGTGTTGTTTCCTTCTCCTCTCAACTGGTATGTAGAGGAACATGGACCCATATCCTACCACTCCACACAGCCAAGTCTGAAGCCTTCCTCCAGTCCAATGTTTCCCAGCCTGTGGGTCGGGACTCAGAAGTGAGTCATGAAGCCTCTGGAAGGGGGTCGCAAGCCAGCCCTCCCTAATGGCCGCCCCTGCCCTTCTCCTTTGCTCTCTTTTGTATTTTGGAACCTAAGATCTCACCCTGTAAACAGTTTCTTCCATACATTAGTTGGCACTTTTTTTCTTCCCTGCATATACATGTTGATCAATTAAAACATGTCCTGATGGTTACTAGGATGGGTTTCTTAGAATCTTAGGAGAGATTAGAGGGAGTAACGGAGAAGGAGAGGGTGGTCAAGGGCTGGAATGTAGCCTCCATATGCAAAGGCTACGTATGGTTCAGAATGGGGGTAGCTGTGCCCTTTGGGCAATGTTTTTGGTTTGCCACTGTAAATGATAGCATGCTGAACTCGGTGGCTGCCAAGGTCATAATTTGCCTAGGATGCCAATAAAACCTTGGGCCAACCCTGAAGAGTCACCATAGCAAGTAAATATGGACATGTGGGTCACTATACTGAAAAGGTTGGGAACTATTGTTCTAGCCTAAGGAGTTATCCTCCAACTTAAGTGGAAGAGCTACTTAAGTGGGAGGAAGACTTCAATTTTTGTTGAGCAGTGTGACAGCCCACTGCACAGGCAGGTAGCTAATCTTTTCACACCATCTTCTGTCAGAAGAAGGTTCCTTGAGATGAAGGAAGGCTTCAATACTGGAAGAGAGTCATAGGATACAAGCCTCTTCTTATTGACTGTTGTTGGGAATAGAGCCAGTTTGGTGTAGTGGTTAGGAGCATGGTGTCAGCTAAGCTGCCATGAGTGTGGAGAGGCCTTCTAATTGCTTTGCATTCCTTCCCATGCGCTTAATTGCTTCTCAGCTGCAACGCTTATCTGTAAAGAGTTACTGGAGGAGATTGTGGTGTCTACCTTCCGTGGGAGCTTCTTCGTTCCCAGCTTCGCGCCCGTTAGACAGCCTTGCCATCTCCCGCGCATGGGAGTCCACCTAATTGGGTATTGCTTGGGGGAGGAGCGCATAGGTAGCCCACCATTCCTAACAGTGTTCATGTTACTGCATCTATGGCTTTCCAATAAAAGTAAAACCTTCCTGGAAGTGTGTACTTCATTGTTTTGCTGTGAATCCTGACACATGGACTCTAATCTGGGAGAACTGGGTTTGATTCCCCACTCCGCCATGTGCAGCTGCTGGTGTGGCCTTAGGTCAGTCACAAGTTCTCTCAGAGCTGTTCTCTCACAAGCAGTTCTTGAAAGAGCTCTCTCAGCCCCACCTACCTCACAGGGTGTCTGTTGAGGGGAGGGGAAGGGAAAGGAGATTGTAAGCCGCTCTGAGACTCCTTTGGGTAGTGAAAGGTGTCGTATAAATCCAATATCTTCTTCTCTTCTTCTACATGAAACTACAGTCGAAGCCTTCCATGGGCCTTGGACATGAAAATGTAAGGATTCAAGATCTCTGCTACATTTTAACTACAATGCCATTTCTGTTACTCCTTCCAATGAAAGCTGTTTTGTTTTGGCTCAAGTGGTTAAGACGCTGAACTGCAGACTGTGGAAGGTCGGTAGTTCAGCAGTTCGAGATCCGAGTGTGCTGCATGACAGAGTGAGCTCCCGTCTCTAGTTCCAGCTCCTGCCAACCTAGCAGTTCGAAAGCAAGAAATTGCAAGTAGATAAATAGGTACCACTTCGGTGGGAAGGGAACAGCGTTCCGTGCGCCTTGGTGTTCAGTCATGCTGGCCACATGACCACGGAAACGTCTTCGGACAGCGCTGGCTCTTCGGCTTTGAAACGGAGATGAGCACCGCAACCCTGGAGTCGGACTCGACTGGCTTTCGAGCAAGGGAGACCTTTACCTTTTTAATGCCATTTCGGTTATTCCTTCCAATTAAAGGTGTTTTATTTTGGTGCATCAGTGACTTCCTCTTTTCTTTATGCCGTCAAGTCAAGCTGAGTTGTGGTGACCCCTAGGGGGGCTTGAAGGTAAAGGATGTTCAGAGGTGGCTTGCCATTGCCTGCCTCTGCGTCATGAACCTGGTATTCCTTTGAGGTCTTCCAAATACGAGCCAAGGCTTAGCTTCCGAGATCTGACGAGATCGAGCTTGCCTGGACTATCCAGATCAGGGCCACTGACTTTCCAAACTAGATCTCAGTCCCAACCCAAAGACATTCTAAGACAGCCACGATGGCATCACATTCATCACATTGTTTTGCTGCTGCAGTGCAGTGTCGCAGTCACAATTTACACAGGAAGGTGGGGGGAATCTCTTAAGCATTTCTTGTCTTGTTCTTCCAGCCCTCTCCTCTGCTTCTTTAAATACACTATTAGCACCTTTGTTTCCTTAACAAATAGAGTTTTTGCAGAGGCAGATAAGGCTGGTGGAGGAACAATATTGACATTTGGGGGCAGCCGGGGGTGGTGGTGGGGAGCAGGACAAGAAGTCATTGGAGGTCACGCAGTAAAATGGTGCCCACTGGAGCCACTGCTCAGCCAATCCGCAAAACTGCTCAAAAATTGTAGCTTAAGGCAGTCCTCCTGTGCCTCCCATTATTATGTCTCTGTCTCTGACTCCGCCTACTTACTTGTACTGTTGGGGGAACATCTACCCTAACTAAATTAGTTCAAAAGGCATTCCCGTCCCTCCGGGAAAAGAATTTCTGTAAGTCTAGTAAGTTCTAACAGAGAATTCTTGGCACGCTCACCAAACTACAACTCCCAGGATTCTTCAGGGGAATACAAGAATCATACCATTGCAAAACTATGTCACGAATATTTGCCATGACACGAACCTAGATGTACAAGCTCATTGACTGTTCTATCCACATCACAGAAGATACTGTAGCCACGGTGGATTTATATATTTCGATGCATCCATGTGCCATCTAGATTTGAAGTCACTTTGCTGCTTATAATCTATAACAAAACCCTCTTCTAATGTAATGCTCAATGGCTATTGAATGTAGTAAGCAATGATTTACAGGAGCTTTAAAATATTACATTTTAAAGGCAAAGCGAGCGCTGAAATGAAAGCACAGTGGAGCATGAGAGATCAGTACTATTGAGAAATGCACGCGGAAAGATTAGCTCGTGCATTTTGTTTGTTCAATCTGAGGGAGGAAGAAAGTCACAGAAAAGTCTTGGAGCTTTTCAAAAAAACAATAATCTACAAAAGGAAAACAAATCTCTTTCAAGATGAAAGTTATCTGCATAGCGCTTACAATTGCCTTCTGCCTCTGCCTCTCCCTTTGTTTGGCCCTTTCGGATTCCCGTTTTTCATACTCTTTGCGGTATTCTTCCCTCTTCAGCCTTTCATGCTGATATTCCTCGTAGCTGTCATACCTAGGAAGACATAACTTAATCATTAAATCATACAGCTGAATTTCCCAGAGGTACAATGAAGGTGTGAACAGGGGGTTTTGGCACGCGCGTGCACACACACACATTCACACACACACACACACACGAGCAGTGTGTTAAAAAAATGTGAAATATGGGACAATGTTATACCTGGGTCTACGGCTATATGGTGATCTGGAACGTGATCTTGAATACAAGGGAGAACTTCTATATGCCCAGGGTCTACAGTGACCAGACTCTTGATAATAGGAAGATCTGTTAGGAAAAATTTTAAAAAAGGAACATTTGTTTTGATAGCTTGCTATTGGAATTTCACTGATAGCTCACTAACAACTCCCTCAGATACAAATCCACCATTTCTCCCTGGCTATTTGGAGGGTTTTCATTGATCATTCGGGCTGATTGCCTAGCCATCTAACATCATCAGAACTTGTTTGCTGGATTGGACTATCTAATCTAGAAATCTGACTCCAGTAGTAACTAGCTGGATTCCTTTGGGAAGCTTACAAGGAGACCATGGTACACCTGCCATTCTGGGTTGGTGGACCCAAACGTTCAACAATCTCTGAGATACTTCCACTATCACAGATTGGTCATATGTAGGCTTGCCAAGTACTTACCTCAATCCGGCGGGGGACACATGCTCCCCGGCTGGAACATTTCTCCTTGTAATGCACCATGCCGTCGCCAGGAAATGACACTGGGCGACGCTCTGGCAATGGGGCTGAAAACTCAATGGTACCATCGAGTTTCTGGCCCCATTGCCAGAGCGTCGCCTGCCGTCAGTTCCTGGCGACGGGCATGGTGCAGCACGTCTGCTGTCCCCACAGGAATGATCCTGCAAAGACGTCTTCATCCCCCGCCGAATCACGGTAAGTACTTGGGAAGCCTGGTCATATGGCTTGTCGTCACTTGTGTCGATGAGTAAACCAACCTTCCAACAAGGTATCTAATTCTTTTTTCAGGAACACATTTTGTAGCAATGAATTCCTTAGCCGTGCACTTTGTGAAGGTGTCAGGCCCCTTCGTCTGAACAAGTTCCATGTGCACTAGTCCTTTTGCACTAGCACTTCCGTTTGCACGAGGCTCACTGAAAACGGCTGATTCTGCACAAACCAAAGCACTAGTGCAAGAGGAAGCGTGCTCTGCAGTAGACTGCCTAGTGTGCATGGGATTTGTTCACAGGATTCAAGCCGCTCTGTTTGAAGGGATTTATTTTCTTCCTAAAACTTCTCTACTTAGATTAGAACAAGCAGGGACCTGCAAGGAACTTGTGAGGCGGGGACATCCCATCTCTCTCACCTTTCTTTTCTGCCGATCTCCTCCACCTCTCTTCCTCCCTCTATCCCTTCTCTGTCAGTCTGCCCCATCTCCCTTCCTCCCCTTTCTACCCGGACTTCCTCTGGGGCTGTCCTTCCTTCTCAGGACTGCCCTTGCTCCAACAGCCATGGCGGCAGGGCCCCTGAGATCTGCAGTGTCAGTGGCTGGGCACCCGGGAGCCGCTGCATCAGCAGCAGGGACCCTGGGAGCCAACATCTGGACAGATAAATTATTTGTGCATGCACAAAGTTAATATACTGGGGGGGAGGGATTTAAACCACCCCATGTATTTTTTTAACGTTTTCAGTGTGGGCCTAATCTGTGGATTTAGATATCTGCAGAGTATTAGAATACAAAATTGGGGACCCACAAGAAACGTGCGGGGCGGCTATCCCATTCCCCCCACTTTTACTTCCTCCCCCTCTCCCCTACCTCACACATACTTTCTCTGTTCTGCCACCCCTTAAATTACACACTCCATGAATGTCACTTCCTCTCTCTTTCTTTCTCCTACCCCACCACTCTCTTCCTGCCCTATCACTCTCCAAGCCGCCCACCTGCTTCCTCCCCTCCCCACAGCAGTGGTGGCAGCAGCAACTCTCCAGGAATCACAATGGATCTCCCAGCTACAGAGATCAATTCCCCTTAGGGCTGCCAGCTCCAGGTTGGGAAATTCCTGGAGATTTGGAGGTGGAGCCTTGGGACAGTGAGGCTTGGGGAGGGACGTAACCTCAGTGGGGTACGATGCCATAGACTCCACCTTCCAAAGCAGCCATTTTCTCCAGGGGAACTGATCTCTGGACAGCAGCTGTGATTCTGGGTGACCTCCAGTCCTCACCTGGAGGTGGGCAATGGTAGTTCTTGTAGAGGCAATGGCTGGTTTGGAGGGTGGAAATAGTAACAACAATCGTGCGGCATTGTGTGTAGAATAGCCAGGAGAACCGAAGATTGTCTGGCAGTCACAAGTTCTAGCTCTTAGCGTTATGCACCACTCAGTGGGGAGGTTTGTTGTTGTTTAGTCGCACAGTCGAGTCCGACTCTTCGCGACCCCATGGACCAGATCACGCCAGGCCTTCCTGTCTTCCGCCGTCCTCTGAACTTTGCTCAATTTCATGTTCGTTGCATCGATAACACTGTCTAACCATCTCATCCTTTGCCGTCCCCGTCTTCTTTGACCTTCAATCTTTCCCAGCATCAGGGTCTTCTCCAGTGAGTGCTCCCTTCTCATTGGGTGGCCAAAGTATTTGAGCTTCAGTTTCATTATCTGGCCTTCCAGGGAACAGTCAGGGTTGATTTCTTTTAGGACTGACTGATTGGATCTTCTTGCAGTCCAAGGGACTCTCAAGAGTCTTCTCCAGCACCATAGTTCAAAAGTGGTGAGCTAGCCTTGTTTTAAATCTATGGCATTATACCTGCCTGATGTCCCTCCCCTCCTCAAACCCCATTCTCCCAAGGCTCCACCCCTATAATGTCCAGAAATGTCCCAACCTGGAGTTGGCAACCCTATCTCCTTACAACCCAACAACCGACCTACCTTCATTGGCCCCTCTATCTTAGGCTTTCTGTTTCCACCCCTCTCCCCTGCAACCTTTACCTGGGGAAACTACCGCCTTTTTCCACAGTGGGGACTAAAGCAGCTCACATTATTCTCTCCTCCTTTTCATCTGCACAACGACCCTGTGAGGTTGGTTAGGCTGAAAGTATGTGACTGGTCAACAATCACCCAGTCAGCTTCCACAGCGAGAGGGAGATCTGGGCCTCACAGACCTTACTCTGAAGCTCTAACTGCTGTACCACACTGGGCTTCATAGGGTGGCTGCTGTTGAGCAGTAGCAAGCATCCAGGCCCAGTTCAGTCATTACTAGTCAGGGGGTATCAAGTCACTGAGAGGGTGCTGCCAGGCCTAGGGTTGCCAACCTCCAGGTGGGACCTGGAAATCCCCAGAATTAAAACTGAACTCTAGACAACAGAGATCTGTCTCCCTGCAGAAAATGGCTGCTTTGGAGGGTGGACTCTGTGCCATTGTATCCAGCTGAGGCCTCTCCCCTCTCCAAACCCTGCTCTTTTCAGGCTCCACCACAAAAACTCTAGGAATTTCCAAACCTGGAGTTAGCGACACTTGTCAGGATTCCTTCCAAAAAGGCCAAAATAGGCCTGGGAAGGGGCCCTCCCCCTCCCTGACAGAACCAAGCTTGGAATACCATGGTTGCCTAGCAACCGCCACTGAAGGAATCCACGTTTTAAAGCTACAGACACTCCTTTTATCATTGTTGGCTTTTTAAAGCTGCCAATTACATTTTTTTTTAGATTCCCCCTTTTTTGCAAACCTAGGACCAATGCTCCCTCTAAGCTGTGGAGTCTTGTGAGCAAAAATTCTACTTTGTGAGCTACCGGCATTAAAGTTGTGAGCGAGCGATTTCTCTGCTGTATACATTAGTTTGCTCTGGAGCCATCCTTCCTGAACTAAGACAAAAGTCGGAGCCGGAGGCTAAAAAACTGTGAGCTAGCTCACACTAACTCAGCTTAGAGGGAACACTGCCTAGGACCCTTTTCAGGTTTGTAGAAAGATCTGCCTTGCCCTGTCTGTTCACAGCTCCAGTCACCGGATTTAAGTATCCAAAGATATCCTGACTTCGCTATTAGGATATAAGATGATGTACTGTCACGTGAGCTGTCGATCTTATTTTACATGAACTAGCTCAGTACTGGGGACAGTAAAAGGTTAGCATCATGGGTTTCTCAAGGACTGGTATTCTCTGTGAGTCAGGTGTTCATTTCCAGCCCACCCCATTTTCTGCAGTCGTTCTCTTTAGATGGTACCTTGAAGAGGATCTACTGCACGGTGACCTTGATCTCGATCGGGAATATGGAGAACGGGAACAAGACCTGTGCTGAGGAAAGGACCTTGATCGAGATCGTATCCTTTGGAATCTTTGAGAAAGGAAGGATTTGGGTGGAGATACCAAATCTCTGCACGGAGAGTTAAGGGAAGAGCAAGAAGGCGACAGATCAAACAAGGAGTAGGTTTGCGTTCCATCCCACGAGCAGCACAGTTTGTCACATTCGTCTTCACTGTCATCCAAAAGGCCATCCATTACCAGCCCTGAATTTATAAACATAGGTAGTCTGGAGAATTGTTCGTCGCTATAATGGCTGTCCCTCAGCCCACTGCTCTTAGTGGTCTCTTCCTCAAAAACCGCTTGGCTCGGGTGACCAAAGTGCTTATTGAGTTCGGCCCGGATTTCCTGGTCTTGGAGCTGTTTCCGGTTGTTGTGCTGCGGATCCTGCTTGCTCACCTGTGAAGTCTCTCTCTTGCCATACTGGCTGAGTGGGTCAAAGGGAGAACAAATATGACACTGCCACCCAGGCAAGCAGCCTTGTGATTCTACTTGTCCAGAATACTGGAGTTCCTGGGGTAGGTTGATACGCACGTCTGCTTTTGAGTTAACAGACTGACAGTAGTCATGGTCGCCAAACAGCCGCAAACCAGGCCGCTTTGTCTTCCTCTCCTCGTGGCCGGCAGACAGAACGGTTGTCTTGCTAAGCTGCGCATACAGCTCTGACTGTGCTGGACCCTTCCGAAGCGAGTTAGGTCCTTGAGAGCTGGAAGACTCACTACAGCGGGGTTTTTTGGAAGATGGCACGACAGTCTTGCATGATGACTTCGGCTTTGGCGAAGTCCTAAAAGGGTTGTCTTGGTTGGCTTTGTGAGGAGGGGTTGTAGGTGGAGTTAGGCCTTAGAAAAAGCAGAGGGGTAGGGGGGAACAAGAAGTCATAATGTGTGAACTATGTCTCCCCACATCCAGGTTTTCCAGTACATTACGCTACCTCCCTTCTTTCAACTCCCTAGTCAAAAACCATCTTCCCTTTGCAGCTTTTGGTTCAATCTCCTAATGTTCCCCCCTTAACGAAACTAAGACTAAACATATCTGAATTACCATCTCCATTTTCTCCCCTCAATCCACCACTTCCCCTGTGTCCACGGCTTAGATTGTACCCTCCTCGGGACAGAGATTTTTACTTTTGTTATAAAATAACCTGAAGCAGTTTTCTGCCAATCCGTCCAGCAGCGTGGACTTGTTTCAACTCCTTCTTACGCCATGTGGTAAAAAACAGAAGGTCAAGATTTTGAGGAAGGAGCAAATGTTGTTTCTTTCCTTACCAGAATTGCCCTAAGGAGAACTGAGGCAACAATAGCACGGGCAAGGCTCTAGTGCGGGGTTCTTCCTCCCCACAAAGTGGCACTGATCTTCCCAACTTCTTGGTGTGGCAGAAGCTCCAAAGCTGTTAAAAGTATGCTTTCCAAAGAGCTCCGGAAATGAAACCAACTAATTGTGGGAACATTTAGTGCTTCAGATGCAGAAGTTGACTGTATCAGTGCCCCCAACACACATGGTCACAATTTGCCATCTGGGATTTCATTATCTATCTATCTGTCATCTCCTGATGCTACACACACACACACACACACACATATACACATTTGTTGTTGTTGTTCAGTCGCACAGTCGAGTCTGACTCTTCGCGACCCCATGGACCAGATCACGCCAGGCCTTCCTGTCTTCCGCCGTCCTCTGAAGTTGGCTCAATTTCATGTTCATTGCATCTATGACACTGTCTAACCATCTCATCCTTTGCCGTCCCCGTCTTCTTTGACCTTCAGTCTTTCCCAGCATCAGGTTCTTCTCCAGTGAGTGCTCCCTTCTCATTGGGTGGCCAGAGTATTTGAGCTTCAGTTTCAGTCTCTGGCCTTCCAGGGAACAGTCAGGGTTGATTTCTTTTAGGATTGACTGATTTGATCTCCCTGCAGTCCAAGGGACTCTCAAGAGTCTTCTCCAGCACCATAGTCCTAAAGAATCTATTCTTCGGCACTCGGCCTTCCTTATAGTCCAACTCTCGCAGCCATACATATACACATACATACATACATACATACATATACATATACACACACACACACATATATATATATATATATATATGAGAAATCCCTTATGACAAAATGTGATCATGTGTGTTGAGGCACTGATACCAACAACTTTTGAATTTGAACTACAAAACAGTGGATACATACCATGAAGATAGTAACTAGACTAATACACACACATACACACACTATATCTATCCATCCATCCATCCATCCATCCATCCATCCATCCATCCATCCATCCATCCATCCATCCACATACTCGCTATACACACTGTACACACTCACTATCTATATATACACAATATAAATAGTGCGCGCGTGCATACACACACACACACACACACAGAGGATTAATTATACGAAACATACACTGAGGAATTTTTTTTAAAAATTACACAGTCCCTTCTCCTGCCCTCTCTCCCCACCTCCCAAATCTTCTGAAAGCCAAAATAATTAGTAGAGGAATGCCTGGAGGAAAGGAAACGTGACGCAAATGCATGGGTAAGGCACAAAACAGTTGGCTGTTGGGAGCAATGAAGCAGCCGGGGGGGGCACCCCAAACGGAGCAGCCTTTGCGAGGCCACCCAGTGCGAACGGGTCAGGGCTAACTCCCACCCACAAGAGACCGTCCAGCACAGAACTCCACTGGGAAGTCCATATGAAGCCCTCCTCTGAGCAAAGTTCTTGCTTTTCGATGCAGGATGTATTTACGGAATGGGGGCGTTAACGATTCCCCTAAAATGAATTTCTGTGACAAAGCACGCAGCAAACAATGGCATTACTGCTGAAATGACAGCTTCTAAATGCCAGCCAGCATCACAAGGGAGAGAAACTGAAATTTACCTGAGGCTTAGCAAATAGAGGCTTCAGTAAATACAGGGGAGACAAATGTCAGATCAATAGGTAACAGGCTGCCCCCCTCCACAGCATGATGTTAATTTACTATAGTAGATCTCTTTGTAAAGATGAAAGATCACACACAGATGCACCGAAATCCCAAAAATGAAAGAAATCAATGCTTTTATCGCACAGCTGATATTTTTGCACAGTGGCTGTCTGCAAGTCTTTTGAGCTTCCCTTTGGTTTCATAAAATATGCTGTTAATGGAAGGTGGTTTGGGTTTTTGACACAGGTTTTTTTTCCCCGGGGGTGGGGGGTGGGTTCTTCCTAGCATTAAGTAAAGCAGGCTTTCCAAATAATTTCAGAAATATCCAACAATGGAGACTTTTGCAGTCAAGAGTCCACAGAAAGTTTCAGTCTTGCATTTCCTCCCTGATAACAGAGAATGTGGTGTCGGATTGCGACTGCTACCATGCAAATTGAAGATCCAAGTATAGAAAAGTATATCCAATGATATGATCATCTTCCTAAAACTGGAGAAATTAGTTCGGTTCAACCTTTGGGCATGCACATGCTCAGCTCCTAGAGCCTCCCCACCCTCAAGCGCAACATACATACTTTAATCCAAAGTGTATCCTAGCAGCAAGCTGCAGCACAGAAACCCAAAGCATGTAGGTGCCCGTAACAGGCATTCTACAACCACAGCTGTCATGCTGCTATCCGGAGTGTGTGTATATGTGATGCAAGTGGGAAGAAGAAGAAGAAGAAGAAGAAGAAGAAGAAGAAGAAGAAGAAGAAGAAGAAGAAGAAGAAGAAGAAGAAGAGGAGGAGGAGGAGGAGGAGGAGGAGGAGGAGATTGGATTTATACCCTGCCCTTCACTCGAAGTCTCAGAGCGGCTTACAAACTCCTTTCCCTTCCCCTCTCCACAACAGACACCCTGTGAGGTAGGCGGGGCTGAGCTTTCTTGAGAACTGCCCTTGAGAGAACAGCTCTGAGAGAACTTGTGACTGACCCAAGGTCATCCAGCAGGTGCAAGTTGAGGAGTGGGGAAATCAAACCCTGTTCTCCCAGATTAGAGTCCACGCACTTAACCACTACACCAAACTGGCTCTCACGCAATGGCGGGTGCTATGTTGAGGATCACTCATCCAGATGGAAACTAAGTGGCAACAAGGAGCAGGGGGAGGGCAAGCCACACAATGCAGAAACTATACCGGCATGACAGCTTCCACCGGAACACTCTTCTCACTGACACCTTGGCTTGTGCCCACATTGGTTGCTGGAGGCTATAGAAGTGCAGCCTACGGGCTCCAGGGAGGCCTAGGGTGTGATTGCACAAGCAGTTTGGCCCAACATGGCCACCCATCTCCTCCGGATTAAATGGGCATAGTCACACAGCCACATCTGTCGGGCATTCCCCAAGCATACTCAACCCGTCATGGGATAACTTGGAGCTGGGGTAAAAAGGCACCACATCACATTCATTGTGTGTGGCCAGATGTCCAAATGTGGAGGAGCACACACAAAACGGATTGGCAGCCTGAGTCTGCAGATCTGTTTCTGCCACTGGGGCATTTAAAACAGTTTGTGCCTATATGCGCATGTGCGCGCGCATGGGCACATATGCACGCATGGGCACATATGCACCCGCCTGCATTTTAAAAAATGACTGGGCAGCGCGCTCTTTGACTGAGGTGCTGCAGTAACGTGGATGCTTAACGGCTGTGTGGGTAACCCGCAGCAGGGTGTACTGTCTGGATGATATGCCCCGCAACCTTTCAAACCGGTACATTAGAGGTGGTGCCATATCGCGCTAAGCCACCAGTGTGATCACATTCTAGTGGCTCCAGGGAAGCCTGTACTACAGTAGCTATCAGGGCCTACATTTCCTAGGTCACCCTTTGGACCCTGTGATTGGCTAACAGGGAATCTGGAGGGAAAACTTACACCAGTAGAATAGTAAAGGGTGTTACCTGGGAAGAAGTGAGAAAAGGCTTTGCCCAAAGTGGGTTCGCTCCCAGGGAGCAGAGCTAGTGCTGCAGATGAAGGGATCCCTCACCCAAAGGGGGTGAGCCAGCCTGAGGCCAAATACCTAGAGAAGGCCAGGGATGGTATAGTCAGATGCGTTAGGGTTTCTTATTTTGCTGGTTTACCTACCTTTACTGAGCTCATTTTTCCTGCATGTTATTGGAATTACAGTTGTTGTTAAATCTCTTTAATAAAACTAGTTTATTACTCTTTGTGGGTCTGCACGCCTCATTCAGTCACTTATAAGGGGAAATCTGCTGGAAAAGGAATGTATAAAGGGGTAGGGTGGGTGCTCTGGGCCCTCCCGAGGAGACCCATGTTGTTGTTATTATTATTATTATTAATAATAAAAATGTGTGCGATTTAGAGAATTATATGTTGTCCTCCCTTACCCCTATGAAATTGTTAGTCCCTTGTGTGAAACCTGTGTAACTGTAAATCGCTCAGAGCCAGCAGCTCTGCCGGATTGAGCGATCAATAAATCGAAAGGTGGTATTATTATTATTAAAATTTCTATCCCGCCCTCCCAGCCAGGGTCGGCTCACATAAAATAACATAAGAATTACAATAATATAAATTAAATTAAAACTCGGCAACATCAGTGAATACAAATAAACCTGAGTGGTGGCAGCTGTTAGAGAGCTTTTCTAGCCGCTGCCCACGACATAGGTCACCAACCTTTCTGAGTCTGTGGGCTCGTTCAGAATTCTGACATGGCTTGATGGGCGCAGCAACAAAATGGCTGCCAAAATGGCTACCCCAGGAGGCCGAGTGAGCCGCAAAATAATTGCCACAGTAATACAGTGCTGTGGTGGCAGCGGCTGCCAAAGCAACATTTTTAAAAAATCTGCACAGCCAATCTGTAATGTATTAGAATGATTACATGAATCACCTCATTAGACTCCCATGTTAAGCTTCGAGCCAAGCCAGGGCTCCT